AAAAGGGAAAAAACGAAAAGAAAACTCTAAGTTAAGCCATTTAAATTCCCTCCCGCGTACACGCGCCATGTTCGGACACCCCACATTTCCACGCGCCTCCCCGGAGTTTCTCAGCGACTCCCAGACGTCTCCTCCGGACGTCATGTCGCCGTTCAACTTCCCCTCATCATGTCCGTTAACTCAACTCACAGTGGCCGAGTCGTTCGACTCCTTGACAGAGGCGCTTCACAGTGGCAGCAGCAGCGGGAGCTACAGCTCGCCGAGCTCGCTGGCCAGTTCTTGCTGCACTACTCAGAAACCGTGCTCCATGCAGAGGAGCGTCAGTAGCCATTCTCTTCAGAAGAACGGACTCCATTGTCATTTCGCCTCGACGCTTAACGAGTTTATTGACTCTGCTTCTGGTCCGGTGAGGAGAGTTTTCAGTACCGGTGATCTGGACCAGGTTAGTCCACCCAACTGGCTTTAATCGTTAAAACGGTTACGTTTGCCATGCGTAATTATTTTTACCTTTAATTTCTGAATTAATTTTGAGTTTAAGTTTATAAATTAGTATACTCTTGCTCCCTGCATTTAAATTTTAATTACTCGAAACATATTCACCTTAATTTCAATCGATTTTTTCATTTTTTTTATTAAATATGAGTAAATTTCAACGAATATTTTAATAATAATAACATCGGATAATATCCATTATACTTGTAAAATATATTTTCAAAGAATATACATGTCATAGTTTATTAGGTACATCTTTTAAGTTAATCATACGAAAAGGAATTTTATTTTTCCACCGGCGAATTTAGTCAAAGATTTTTATTCTCACCTTTTTCCCGATTTAATTTTTTTTTTTGGGTGGGGGGTTGCTTTCTCTTTTTTTTTGTTTCGGGGCTTTAATTCCCACTTAAATTTCGTGTATGAGAAGCCTTTTCAGACATATATAATTAGTGCTTACTTGCTATGCTGATTGCCGTGTTTAGGCATTTTTCCTCTTACTTTTGCTGGGTGTGTTTGTGGGGTGGGCAGGGAATAAGTATGGGGCAGCACAGTAGGAGGTCAGAGAGTCCATTGTCGAGTGAGAGCAGTGCAATCATCGAAGGAATGAGCAGAGCCTGTCGCTACAGCCCAGAGGAGAAGAAAGAGAGGATCGAAAGATATCGAAGCAAAAGAAACCTAAGGAACTTCAACAAGAAGATTAAGGTCTTAATTATCAGCTGCTTGATTAAATCTCTTTACTTTTTCTTTTTATTATTTTCATATATATATTTATATATAGCTATCATGCAAAGTACTTGATAATTAAGCTCAATTATTATTTTATTATCATTGCGTAAAGGTGACAATCGAACATGTGGGAACTCATTTTAATCAAAATCAAAGTTTTATTGGTTAATTTTTAAGTCAATTTGAATTACATCGAGTTGAGTTCGAGTGAGTATCGTATTTTCTGTTTGCTGATAGAAAGTATTTAAATTCGAGTTAAAGTTAATGATATAAAGTTTGAGATTCAATTTTAATTCAATTATTTAAATTTGACTTATACAATTGATTAGCAAATTATAAATAATTATTCATGTAAATTAATTTTTAATATAATATACTCTCTTTTTCTCCCTGAAAAAGCCAAAAACCTGGTGAGTATTAATGTGCTTTTTTTTTTTTGTCTAAAAAGCATGATTGCTATGGTTCTTTCCTCCTCGTGTGATGCTTTTTGGTGTCTGTCGTATTCAATTTAGGCCAAAATGCTCACTTTTTTTGTATCAATCCATGAGTCAATTAGACAGACATTGAAATAGTTCTTTGAACTTGTGAGTGCATGCACAAAAAGGGGTCAAGAATCTCTTGAGTGAAAAGATAAGCTAAGCACGAGAAGAAGTCACGCATTGTAATCCATCAAAATAACGAGGGATTCTTCTTATTGTAGTTTTTATTTTTTATAATTAGGGAGGAGGAGATTTGAATTATATTTTTTAGACAAGAAGATAATATATTAACCAATTAATCAAATGTTCGAGTATTATTTTTTATTGTAGTTAAAAATGATTGACATTACATTTAAGTTGTGTTCACAAGTCATTTTTTTTGAATGATATGATATGCTATGCTAATCAAACAAAATTTCAATCTTATCATTCTTTTCGAAGTTGTCGAAAAAAATTATTATATATGTTTCTGCACGTAAATGCATAGTTTTCTCATAAACAATCTCAATTTTAACTCGATTTATACAACAGTATGTATGTAGGAAAACATTGGCAGACAGCAGGCCACGAATCCGAGGGCGATTCGCGAGAAATGAAGAAACTGAAAAGAATCCTCAAGGTGAATGGAGCCACATGGGTGGAGAGGAAGAGGAAGAAGACGAGGAGAGTTGGATCAATTTTCTAGATTCACTCTCAGCAAATCTGATTAATCCTTGATGTTGAAAGACTTTATTATGTGTCTTAGTGTGTTAGAATTGCTTGTTTTCTTAATATTTTGATGCAATGTTAAGTCCCTTTTCAGCTTCAAACAGTTGTAAATATGATTGATCACAACTATTCATATGAGAATTATGGAATTGCAAGCCTTACCCCATATCTGATTGATGTAAGAAGTTTTAAACCATCAACAAAAGGATAATAATGAAAAGAAGTAAAATGGTTCAGGACTAGTTGCAAAAGCTCAGCTATTGATCTTCCATTATGGGCATGAAAAGACTTAAGCAGAGACTTTCGGGTAGCTCACTTTTCCCCTCAATGACTAGTCATGAAGCTCCTACATTGCACTTGCTGACTCTCAAGCAACAAGCCAAAGTAAGTGGACTGCTTTGTCAAAGCTTCCTTGGAACTCAGGGAAACTGTTATGGTCCCATTATGGTTAAACGGGAGAGGGGTTTTTGTGGTGCAAACTTGATATATTGGTAAAAATTGCTACATGAAATCGTAAATTAAACAAGGGGAAAACAGCAAGTCAAGCCACCACGTCTTCAAAGTTGACGTTGGGCTGCTGTGAAAATCCAAAAGTCAGATAACAAAGACAGACTTTATTATGTTAAAACACAAAGGGACACAATAATAACAGGTGAAGAGTTGCCATTTTCATCCTGCATGATCACAAAATACACTGAATAATGGAAGCGACAATTTCAGGTGGATGAAACATCTTGCCGTCTGAAGTAAGAACAACTCAAAAGAAATGCAGCTACCTTTCCCACTGGGAAATAACTATTTCCTTTTGACTGAGTTGCTAGACCACGGGTGTGACAACTCTTGGAAGAATTGTTAAGAAAAGGATCTCTTCACAAGATTTTTCTTACTTGACATCGGTCTCTAATCACAATAACTGAATCAATTTTGAGGAGAAAGCCAATTTGAAAACGAAAACACGGAAGAAACATTCACTTCAATCCTATAACTCATTATTTAACTCTCCTTGAAATCCTTGTGGTACTGTTGGAAAGGGCCGTTGACTACCCACCATGGCAATTCAATTCGGAAAGGCATAACTATATGGGAAGTTGAGTTTTAGCCTTGATTTTTCAGCTCTCTTGACCAATTTTCACTGCCTTTCCAGGCTTTTTCCAAAGGGTTTTACCAACATATATCAAGTATCATAAATAAACAATCTCATGTTACTTAATGATGAGCTTGATGTTTCATTATTTATTCCTACTATATGCTATATGAGAGAATCTGAACATTACTTTCTCTTTAGTTAAAGGCTATTACTCTTTCAAGGCAACCCCTAGAGATGGGAGTTGGGAAGGGGCGGGGATGTAATCTTTTGTCGGCCCGGCAGCGGCTGTGGGTTGTCCACTAAGTTTATGGATGACCTTTGTATTATGAAAAGACATTAAACTATGATATGGTTTTTAAGAATCCAAAGTTCCCATTATTCAAGTATAATTATTAAACTAAGTACCAGAAACTGGTAGGCTCTCTTGATTTATCTGTCTTTTTGCTTTTGATTCATTGTTGCCTTCAAAGTTTTCTTCTTCATAGTGTTTGAAACTTGCAAATGGACAGTAATCTTTGTTAAGAATACTCAAAAAGGCAACATCAAGTGCTTGTTGGGGATTGGAGATGGGGGAAAAGGTAATGTGGAGTGTTGATTTTATGAATGCTTTTAATGTTTATTAAAATCTGGGTCTAATGAGGACATGATTAAGTTGCATAATGCCAAGAAAATGAGTCAAATCCAATGCGATCCCTGCTATTTGGAAGATGATACTCTAGCCATCTGGATGATAATGGTAGGAATTGATTAAACAAAGAGGCTTAAGCCATGATCATTATCCGCTTTTTGGCACAAAAATTTAACTGCTTACTTTTCACAAACTGATGCAAGTGTTCACATTGGCAAGAAAGTGAAAAAATCATAGTGGCACATGAGAAAGAGCAAGTTGGGGGGATGTCATTTTCCCTTTCCTTTTCCATTTTTTTGATGGAAGTTGGAAAGTCAGATATTCAATGCAAATTTTGAAACTTCATTAATCCAATAGTTATCAGGGGGCTGAGCTTGAATTCTTGAATAGTTAGTTACCCTGTGAGAAAACAAGGAAGAAAGAATAGAGGAATTGAAGGAAAACAAGTTCAAATCATTTGCTGACAATAATTTGTTTAACAGCTTAAAATGAAAAATAAGTTGTAATTTGACAGGATTGATGCCCATCCTCACGATAACAAATATGGAGAAGAAATGGAGATCCTGCAGCAAACAATCACCAGAAAGCTACCATAGCAGGTTTGCTATGCTGTAACACAACCTTCAACAGTGATGGTTGCAGACAGTCAACTCAATTTTCTTACATTAGGGTCAATGATCTCACAACATACCATTTTCTGATGCACAAATCTTCTAATTTAGGAGGATACCTTAAGGAAGAATAATTGGGCAATTCTTGCTTGGTGTTCACAAGCTCCTTCCAGTCAGGCCACATTCAACGCATACTCGAGTATAGGCCTGGATTGAAATCATGATTACCAGGGAAAAGGCATTGAAGATTCAATTATTTGTAGGCAATCTTACACGATCCCAACAAAGAGTCAAACCACTGAAATCACATTAAAGTTGAAGATTTTACAATAGTCAACCTTACATCACACTCAACATTCAAAACAGAACAAAGACAGCCACCACATGAGAGGTGTTTCAGCTCTTAACCTTAACCAGAAATTTCAACAGATTTAATCTCAGGTTTTTTCATCTCAACCTTAGGTACAGTAACAGTAAGAACCCCATTTTCCATGGAAGCCTTGACATGATCCATCTTCACATTCTCCGGCAGCCTAAACCTCCTCGAAAACTTCCCACTGCTCCGCTCCACGCGATGCCAAGTGTCGTTCTTGTCTTCCTTCTCTACGTTCCTCTCCCCACTGATCTGAAGCACCCTTTCGTCTTCAATCTCCACCTCACTTACTCCTTTCGAAGCCCTGGAAGATCCGCCTTGAACACGTGCGCCACGGGTGTCTCCTTCCAGTCCACACGCGTGTTGACGAAAGCGGAGTTTTCTCGGGAAAGTTGAGGGAGTGACGGGAAATCGAAGTCCTTGAAAGGGTCCCATACGTCCAGAGGAAAGGGGTCGAAGATGCTGTTGCGGCGATTGCCGAAGAAATTCAGAACCATTGCCATTTTCTGCGAACGAGAGAGCGCATCGATTTGCTTGAGAAATTGCTGGTGTTGTCCAACTCGTGACGATAATGGTAAAGGATTAGCCGGGTGGTTACATCGATGAAAGGAATAATCTAGTAGCTTCCAGAAAAACCATTACGGTTTCTGAAACGCGGATGCGCTAGAACATTCTGGATTCTGGTTGCGGGTTTAGACGAAGCACAACATTAAATGGCCCTCATTTGGGCTTGGAGCAGTTTCTCCATTTCTGGGCCTAGAGTAGATACTAGGCAGAGTAGCAAAGCGCAGAACAGTTTTTCTGATAATCAAAAATGTAATTAAGAAAAATAAATGGAATAAAATAAAAACATTTGCTCAGCTAATGTACATATCCCGGTAGACAAAGACAATATGGTTATTCCATCTTCACCCTGCGCTTAGATTTTTTAGCTTTCCTCTTGAAAGATACAGGATACAAGTTACGCCGTAAGGGAAATAAATGAACTCGATGAGGAGTCCTCCGGCTAGTGCTCAGTTTCCCTGCATTTGATAGACAATTTGCAGTCAGATCAGAAAAGAAAGCAAGCATGTTAACGGGGAAAATCATGATCCCAAAATGCAGAAATGTAAAAGCAGCTGACTTAAAACCTTGATATAGAAAGTCCCAAACAATAATATGTTCTTTACCTAATCTACGCTGGCCTAAAAGAAGCTCATTACTTTTGCTATCATGTTCTCCACGCTTTTGCCCTTCCAATGCCACCTCTTGGATCTCATTAGTTGTAGTTGAAGTGATGTCCTTAGCTTTCATCTCCTCATTGGACTCTGGAAAAGGATTCAAATCCGCAAGACCTCCATCATCTTCAGGTACTGTGGTTAGTTCTCTCTCAAGGACATCTTTGGGCAAAGACTCATCCCTAAAGACTGAGGAAGGATCATTCATTCTGTCATCATCTTCTGCAAGCTTTTGCTCTCCCATCACCAACTCCACTTGGTTTTCATGGTTTGCCACCACAGAGTCATCCTTAACTCCCATCTCATCATTAGACCACTGAAATGAAATTTGATCAGCAATAACTGCATCATCTTCAGGACCCCTCAATGACATGCTTTCCAAAATATTATCAACCAAAGATGCATTTTCCTGGTGTTCAATACCTATATCCATACGGACTACAACATCATCCACCTTAATAGTCTCTGCACCAAAATTAACATCAGAACCTTTTGAACTCTTAGAATCTTTCTTCTGAATAGAAGGTAAATTATTATCCTCAGATGGAGGAGAAATCTCCAAACTAGCAGCATTACAAGCAGCATCTGATTCAATATCCATGGCTGATGTCTGAGATGTCACATTCTCATTTAGCATTACAGCATTTAATGCATTGCCTGATGCCTCAATTCTCACATTCTCATTTAGTAACGCAGCATTTTGTTCATAACCAGGAATACAGTTGTCAGACTGCAGACCCAGACTTTCAGTTTCAACTGAGGCAAATACTACACCTGAGCCATTATGAGTCTCTGGTTCTTCCTCAATTGTGGTTGTATTAGTTACCACTTCCTCAGAATCAGTTGAAGTTTTTGTAGCATCTTTTGCCAGGTGTAACTTTTGAGAATCCGCAGATAAAGAGGTTAAATGTTCTGAAGGTGTATCATCTAGTGAAGCCTTGTCTGTTTCACAAAGAAGATTGAGCTTGCTGGGCTTTTCAGACAGCCGATCAGTTGTAATGGATAACTCAACTGGCTCAGTAGTAGCCAAAATGTTTGTAAATTTTGCCAGTGACTGGGAGGCAGTCTTAGTTCCAGGTATCAAATCCTTAACTTGGAAGCCATGTGATGGCATGTTGTCAATAACAGAATCAAAATCAATGACTTTCACAGCTTTAGATACATTACTGGAGGCAGAGAAGGACTTTGCCATGTCATCCAGCAATAAATCACCTTCACCACTAGAGATCGGATCCCAGTTAAGCCAGTCCGCAGACTCAGGTTTCTCAGAGTCAAATGGCCCACTAGATGACACCGCTTCAACTCTGATGACCTCCTTGAAGAAGTGCTTTCTCCTCAAAGCATTAATCAGAAGACTCCTGCAAGAAGAAACGAAAGGATTTCCACACGAAATGAAACATTAACTACTGTCCTCCTAAAATTACAAAGTTTTCACAAGTAAGCATACCTACAATTTTTGGAAATAGCTGCTTTAGCTCGTTCTATAGAGAGACCAAGCAAAGATGCTAAGTTTGCAACATCATTTGGTCCTCTGACTTCACATACAGAAGATGCAGCACTAGAAAATATGAGATTCTTTCCTCGAGTCCAATCCACCAGCAACTGAAACAGTATGCTTCAGATAATTAGTTCACAGCAACAACATCCACTAATATACACTTATGAATGAACTCAAATGACCTTAATCATACCATTCACCGAGAAAAAAATCATCATCTTAGTTAAATTCATAGACTATATCCCAGCTGGTTTTATAACAAGCATTATTTCTAAGAACAATAAGAGGCGAAAACATGTGCACTATTAGAAATAGCGTAAAATCCAACCATTTGAAAACAATACAACAAGCTCCCAATTCCTCACCTTAGCATTGGATATCATTTGCCTCCTTAGTTGAACATCCACAATAAGACAAGAATACGTAATTTCAAAGTAAACCCCACGCTGCAAGACGAGAAAACAGAACAATGGAAATTATCCATCGAAAAGAAATCAATATTGAAGGAATATAGAAATCCAAGTCAAAAACAAACCTTAATAGCAGCTTTAACCATAGGCAGTTTCAATCGAAATGGCACCTTGTCTGAGAAATCAATTGAAATTATATCCACCTATTACACAACCAACAAAAAAACGATTAAAAGATTCCTTTTTTTTAAATTCCACTACTAGATTAAAATTCGATTCAATTAAGGACCTCGGCTTTTTCGCATGCGTGATCAAAAGCATTTTGATTTAACGGCCTAACCGCAACGATGTCGTACGTCTTCAATATCGGATTTCCCGAATTTAACACTTGTGACTGCGACGCGGTGTCCACGCAGACGGTGAGGCGCGTGTACTGGCGGAAAGGCGAGGAGCGAGGGACGCCGAGGAGGTCGCGGTGGAAGTTGACGGAAGAGGAGAGAAAGGGGGCGATTTTGAGCAGAGAGGAGAGGGTGAGGAGAGGGATTGAGCAACGGTGGCGATCAGACATGACGCCCTTTATCGTACGGTCGTATGCGATCCCCGTGTAACCCAGCTCCATCGCTTTGATCACGATTTTAATGCGCGTGGATTTGGTGGCGGCGGATGTCGCATTGTTGGGCGGCGTCGAATCGGCGTACGGAATGTTAAGGTCGAAAAACCCCATAGTTCCTCAGACAGAGAGAAGGTAAAAGGGTGTAGGGTTTAAGGGTGAAGAGGATAGTAGGAGCTTTGCCGCTTTGGGTTTAATATCCGAAGAAAATCCAAACGACGACGTACGATCCTATTAATTTAACATTAAAAGTTAAAAGCCATTTTCGACTACATAACTATCAGTACATTTTTTTATTTTTCCCCTATACTCCTATAGTAGTAGTACATACTGTTTTTGAACATATTTATCACCATTATATAAGATTTTCATTGGTATATAAATTTAAATTTATAATAATCAATTTTCATTTATAAATTCTAAAATTAAAAATTCTAAAACAGACATTTTGTATTATGTTTGACTACATTATTCCAATGTCTTGTTATATCGATCATATTATAAATAAAAAAATATAAAATTTATTAATCTAACTTAATTATGTGTAATCATCAAATTTTAAATTGAGGGAACAACATATAAAATCGATTTGAGCTTTGATTCATAAGAGTTTTGAGTTATTAACAAGTTTAAACTTGTGATGAATCATTGTTAAACTTGTAAAAATAACTTTATTCATATCAAATCCAATTACAATTTTGTAGCATAAAAGTAAAATTTCTCAATCTAATTACATATGTGGTTTGTACTTACTTTGTTTAAGAAACAAGATTAACATTGTAATTTAAACTGGGTTGTTTGAATACGGAATCAAGTTCCAATAAATATCATATTAACCATGAAATGTTCATGAACATTTACATTATATTACACCTACTCTCGAAAAACTTTAAGTTAGAAGATGAAAATCTAAATACTAAATTTAAGAGTGAATAATACTGCTTTAATTTGAATTCAATTCAAGTTAAATAAGGAGAACTAATTGAGTATTGGGTATTTGGTTTAAAGATTTCGATTCTTTTAATTTATTTAATATATTATCGTTAAAAAATATTTTCAACAACCCAATCAAATGATCTCCTAACCCATTATGCAATGACCCTTAAGCTCCCATTGGCATCGTTGCCTTGTCACCAATCAACCTCTCCCTTTGCATTTCCTTACTCCCCTCTTCCGTCTTCTTCGATCTTAAACCCTAAGCCCCCTTCGTCATCTCCTTTTTCTTCATTCGTATGTTGCTTTTGTAATTTATGAAAGAATAAAGTTGACAAAAATTTCATTCATTTGATGTATGATTGCATTGACCAAACAACCTCAAAGTTCAATTCTTTTTGATTGCCTCCCATAATTTCGTTAATTTTTCAAAAAAAATTGATTAGTTAAATTTTTTATGATAATTCATCGAAAAAATTAATTTAACCGTTTACTTTAACATAACCAAATTAACTAGATACAACATCAAAATGATCTAAATGAAAAATTTCTTTGAAATTTTGCAAGATTTCTTAAAATTTTTAGAAATACCCAGGGGTCAAATATCATATTTATAATTTATCTATTGCTTTTACCAATGAAGATTTCAATTTAAATAAAATGTTACAATGAAATTAAAATGGTATGTCCAATAAACATTCATTAGTGAATAATGGGCCATGGACTCTAGGCAAACTAGTCCAAAAGTTGACCCACAAACAAACGGGTCGAAATTTGTTAGTGGGCTTCAATTCTGGGACTGAGTCAATTTATAGAATCATGGCGCGTTAGTTTCCGCTCCAAAAACGTTTTCGAGTTTTCAACTCACAAAAGAAACACACAAACCAAAAAAAAAGGCGCTACAAAATAACCACCAAATTATCCACGTCACCTATCCGTGTCGATACTTCATGCTCATCTCAACCCTCCATTAAACTTATCCACGGCTATAATTCATCTCTAAAAACACCGCACGGATTGCTCTGTCAACCCCCAACACTCCTCACTCGTCCTATAAATACCCCCAACTAATTCCTCATTGCCCAAAGTTTCCAATTAAACTGCCAAATCACCAATTCCAGGGAAAAGCAAAGATGTCGGGAAGAGGAAAGGGAGGCAAGGGACTGGGCAAGGGAGGAGCAAAGCGACACCGTAAGGTCCTCCGTGATAACATCCAAGGGATCACTAAGCCAGCAATACGGCGTTTGGCTCGAAGGGGAGGAGTCAAGCGAATCAGCGGTTTAATCTACGAGGAGACTCGTGGAGTTCTGAAGATCTTCTTGGAGAACGTGATTCGTGATGCCGTCACCTACACTGAGCACGCGAGGAGGAAGACCGTGACTGCTATGGATGTGGTTTATGCACTGAAGAGGCAGGGTAGGACTTTGTACGGGTTCGGCGGTTAAATGAATTATAATTTGAGTAGGGGAGGAAATGGGGATTTGAAGTCTTGCTGTCAAGAATGTTTGAGGTTAGGGTTTGGGTTAGTGTCTGTAATTAAGGTGGGTTTATTGGATTACTAGAAATTATAGTTTGGTCAGTGGTTTTTTTCTTTGGCGATTAGTAATTCCTGGTCTGAATTTCCAATTTTAGTGAAATTTGAAGTTCGTTTTGTTAATTTACTCTCTCCGGTCTGGTAGCTGATGATTGGTATAATGCCAAAAACGTTTCCTTTCGTTCTTTGGTTTTGAGTTGAAATTTAAATTGTTTATCTAACCTTTAATGGGGTTTTATTTAAATTCAAGCCTAGCTATGGGTCAATTCAATTGAGTTAATGTTACCATGGCTTTGTAAACAGAATTGAATTGGATGAAACATGAAGCAGAAACAGTAGAAAGAAATCTGAACTTATGGAACTTTTAGTGGAGACAAAAGCAACTGAAACGTCCATGCAAGTTCTATCTTGATCGTTGAGTGTTGTTACAATGACTGTTTAAAAATTACTCAGCTTTATGCTTTGATGATTTTCTTGAACCAGAATACCGCAACCCGCTTGTACGTCTTCCAATGAATTTGAGAACCTCATCAATCAGAATGACTGGCAAAGCAACAGCTATTACCAGGAGCCATTCGTTGAGGCTGAGGGGAACAATCCCAAACACTTGAGCAAAGAATGGCACGTAGAGAATCAGAAAGTGTAGGCCGAACGATACCGACATGGCCAAAAGAAGCCATGGGTTGACCCAAGGTGGCATTGATAATAAGCTTCCATCTTCAGAGAGGGCGTTAAGGGAATTGAACATTTCAATGGCTACCAAGACGGAGAGGGAAAGAGTGGAGGCTTTGATTTTCCCTGCCTGGAAGAAATCGCACGGGTTTGTGTCGAAAGTGAACACTTGGGAACCTGCAGTGAATGGTGACACTGAGAAACCTTCCCAAGAAGAGCATTGATCCCATTTGGCAAGCTGGTTGTAGGTAACAAGACTATGGCCATCTCCACTCAGATCAATGCCCAAGAAGCTGTGGTGTGTGTACCATATGATGAATACCCCAACTGTTGCTATCCCGACGTATAATCCAATCACCTGCAACAATGAAGGAATCAAGTCAGCTCACGTCTTCGGTAATTCCACATTAAGTAGTCAAGAACAAGAAAGAGGAACAAAGAAAAAGTATAGATCAATTACCAGGTATCGGAATAAGATCCAAGCAGTGATTAACGAGTCATCGCTTCTTCTTGGAGGCTTCTTCATTATGTCTTTGTCTGGGGGATTGAACCCTAAAGCAGTTGCTGGAGGTCCATCCGTAACAAGATTAACCCAGAGAAGCTGAACTGGGATCATGCCTTCTGGAATACCCAATGCAGCTGTCAAAAATATAGAAGCAACCTCACCAATGTTGGACGAGATCATGTACCTAAAATTATGAGAAGTCAGTCACTCCATGTAGCATATTAACAATAATCCAAGTTGACCAAAAGTTTGGAAGAAAAAGAAACAAGTATGAAGATAACACTGAATACATATGCTTCATTGAGTTAGAATCTAGCTTCGAATGAATGCAGCTTTGTCTTTAAGAAAGCAGACTCAATGCAATTTGTTATTTCAGTAAACAGTAGCACAAAACCCAGAAGATATGCAACAACACAAAAATAAAAAAAAACAACAATAACAACCTTATAAAAGCCTTCATATTGTTGTAAATGGATCTGCCCTCAGCAACTGCAGCAACTATAGTGCTGAAGTTATCATCTGCTAAAACCATGTCAGAAGCTTCCTTTGCAACCTGGAATGAATAAAGCAGCGAATGTGTGTGTGAGAGAGAGGATGGAATAAGAAACTAATGCATCATGAATATCTTAGACTAGTATACTAAATTTCAGGATGTAGAATACTACTATAATAGCCTGATAATAGGCAAAATGCTACTTCACAAGGAAAGCCGACATGTGGAGTAGTGAAACAGAGCACACAAGCACCAAACGAAATGACATATGAAAAGATGCAAGTAACCAGATGGACACTATGAATGGAATCCACCGAATTAAAATAAAATATATAGAGACAAAATAATGGTGGATACCTCTGTGCCAGCAATGCCCATCGCTACTCCAATATCAGCCAACTTCAAGGCAGGAGCATCATTAACTCCATCCCCAGTCATTGCAACCACTTCACCATCCTCCTTCAGCAACCTAACTATTTCTTGCTTATGCCTTGGCTCAGCCCGAGAAACTAAGAGACCTCCACTCTGTCTCAGATGATTTTTCTGATCAGGATGATCCATAAAATCGTTTCCAGTTAAGCTTCTTGAGCTGATATCTTCATGAGATCCAAATACACCGATTTCACGACAAATTGCTTCTGCTGTGTTCTTGTTGTCTCCTGTAATGACCATAACACGAATCCCAGCTGCTTTGCAGTCCTCAAGCGCTTGACGAACCTCTTTCCGAGGAGGATCCTTGATAGTTTGATCACATGGTTATGATAAAGGATAGACAGAAGTAAGAAAACAAAAATACAAATACAAACAAAAGCAACTCACCCATAGCCCAACTAAACCAACAAAAATAAGTTTGCTCTCAATTGAAGAATAATTGGATGGATTAAGCAAAAGCTGATGAGCCGGATGATCTTCATCACCATTATATGTTGCAAACTCAAAAAGCTCCTCCTTATATGCAAAACCGAGACAACGCAACGCATCTGTTGACATTTCATGAAGACTCTGTAAAATAAGATCCCTTGAATATAGATCTAGTTCTACAATAGAGCCATCAAGAAGCTGGATAAAAGAGCTCCTCTCCAATAAATTCTCTACAGCACCCTGCAACATTAACCATGTAAAATAAGAGCGATATATGTCAAGGATGTGCACATGAACTTTATACCAGCAAGCAAGCATCATCTTAAGATTTGACTTAGGGCGTTTACTGGCACCCAAAAGAAAAAGGATATTGGACAAGTACATATGAGCAGCTAAACACTCAAAAGTCAAATCTATAATTTTACAAGTGGACATGTGATGTTATGAAGAAAAAAGAGATGAATCAACCTTTACGAGCAATGACTTTCGTCCTGAGCTGGAATTCACAATAACTCCCATGGACTTCCGGTCACGGTCAAACTCTAGTGTTGCAATCCTTTGCTCCATTGTGCTCCATAGTTGACAACAACCTTGTGTAGCAAAACAAAGTAAATGAGAAAGCTCAGTAAGATCTAGAAATCATCACCTAAGAATGATGATAATTATAGGAAAGAAACCAGCTAACATACGCTGAGGATCCCCATGACCTGAAGAGGGACTATACTCTTCAGGAAATCCCATTTTCTCAACCAGAACCTGGAACGAGAAAAAACCGAATAGGAATATGTCTCAGTGAGGGAAATATGCAACATGAACCTTTCAAATAAAAAACTGAATGTTCACACTATGCACATTTAGAAAACACATCACAGGTTTCAGGGGCAAACAAGCCACGCTTATTTGTATACAGCAGCATGCATCTAATGCAGTAAAAGGAAATAATGGAATTGTTGATGCTGAGATTTATGTGCTCCTGTTCTATTATTTAAAAAAATGAATTAAAGTTCAAAAAAAGCTACTTAAAAACAGGTTCAAAGTTAAGTTTTTACATTTTCTCATGCTCCATGTTAGCTTGAGTTCAGTCAAACAGATGCAATATACACAGACTAAAAGGATTAAATTTCAGAATTGGGGTATTTTCACCTTTAGTGCTGCCTCTGTAGGCATTCCATTGGCAACATAATGATTCCCAGCCTGCTCAACACTAGCATCATTGCAAACAGCAGAAATTTTAGCAATCATTTGAAGATTGACATCCATTTGACCAACAGGCCAACTTAGTATTTTCCCATCAAAAGGATCATAAGTAGTTCCTTCCACATCAAAAGATCGCAAAGTGCCAGGCCTTGAACCAATAGCAACAAGCTTTGAGACAGCCATCTGATTGGTAGTCAAAGTTCCTGTCTTATCAGAACATATTACAGTTGTGCAACCAAGAGTCTCAACGCTAGGCAGCTTCCGAACAAGTGCATTCTTTTGAGCCATCTTTCGGGTTCCCAGTGCCAAACATGTTGTATTAACTGCAGGTAAACCTTCTGGAATTGCAGCAACAGCCAGTGCCACAGCAATTTCAAAGTAATATGTGCACTTCTCAAATGAGAACTTAAAGTTTCTTGGCCAACCATCGACATATTCCCAAGTAAGAAAGTATTTCACATTTATCAGCCAAACCAATGCACAAATCACTCCAATTATCATTGTTAGAACCTCTCCGAACTCATTCAACTTCTTCTTTAACGGGGTATCTTCCTCATTCTGTGATGCTTCATGAATCTGGGAGTGCACCTTCCCAATCTCTGTATTCATGCCTATCTCATGACCAAGCAAATACAGTTTCCATTGACCACAGTTGTTCCAGCAAAAACCATACATTTCTTCCCTGAATATCTGAATTCTGAGGAAACCTTCACAGATTTGCTCACAGCTTCACTCTCTCCCGTCAATGACCCCTGTTCAACTCTTACAGTTGAGCTTATTAAACTCAAAACCCGCATATCTGCAGGTACCTTATCACCAACTCTCAACTCTACAATATCACCTGGGACAAGTTCCTTTGCAGGCAAATTTGAGACCTTCTTGCCATCTCGAGTCACATTTGCATGCTCCGATTGAATTTCTTTTAAAGCCTCCAACGCTTTTTCCGCATTGCTTTCTTGCCATATTCCAACAATGGCATTCACTATCAAGATCAAGAAAATCACAAGCGGCTCCACAAAAGCTGTTATCTCCATCTCCCCTCCTTCTTCACCATCATACCAAGCCAAAACAAACGATACAATTGCAGCAACCAATAATATCCTAACTAATGTGTCATTGAATTGCTCCAAAATCAGTTGAAATATGCGTGCCCTCATGTTTTTCTAACTCATTCATCCATATTTCTGCGCCCTTTTTTCAACTTCAGCACTTGATAATCCTAATTCTCGATTCACTTGGTACTTCTCTTCACATTGTTTCACCATCTCTAGCCCAAGCAGGAAAAGACTCTTGCTTGGACAGGCAGCACTGGCATTTTCTCCTCTTCCCATAGTCTTCCCCTCCTCTACCCTTTGAATTCAATGTCAAAGCAAACGATTCTTCAAGTAAATAAAAGAAATTTCAAAATAGCTGAAGATCAAAGTTGAAACTTTGTTTCCTTTCTTCAATACTGAACCTGAAAGCAACAAAATTTAAAGAAAGATTTATCACACACAAGCAGATTAACAAGCCCCCCCCCCCTCCCCGACTATTAACTCTAACATTCCGTTTAGGCACTTAGAAAAGAAGAAAAACAATAAAAAAGCAAAAAAAAATACACCCTTTTTTCTTCAATTACCAATAGTTCTTAGTTTCAGCTAAACTTTCAGTTTTTACACATTAAAAATCAACTACCTGATAAATCCATCAATCAAAAAACAATCCCCCACCTCCCCACCCCACAAAGAAATTTCCTTTCAATGAATCTTCTCAGCAACCAAACAGAGCGAAATAAATTTATCAAAGGGCAAAGGCAACGAGAATTAGGGTTTGTGCTTACCAGAGCTTTGGAGTTTCTATCTTCCCACTCAGCTACCAATTCATTCTCTCGCTCTCTCTCCTTATTCTCTAATTTGTAAGAACAAAAATTACAGCTTTAAGAGTCTAATAAATGCATAGAGAGAGAAGAGAGAGAGAGAGAGAAGAGAGAGAGAGAGAGAGAGATCTGATTTATAAAGAGCGATTCAATCGCTAAAGAACCTCGCTCTTTCCACAGTCCACAAGCAATTGTTTTCTCGTGTGTCTTTCGTCTTTTAGGAGAACCTAGATTCCACATTGCCTTAACCAACAGGGTCTCTCCACGTGCACAAACAGACGACAGTGGGCCACACATAAAGACATGGCTTTTCGAGTGTGCTTCCCATGTGGCATGCCATTAGAGGTGACCTCTCACACTGAATCTCCACTTCTCTCTTCTCTTCTTTATTTATTTTTTGAGGAATTTAATTTAATTAATGCTTAAGAAATTTCCTGTTCCCTTCCTTGCCATTAAAGAACTAGTGAAAATTTTAAGGCATATTCTGTTATTCCGGGTTAGTTATTCTGTGTCTTTTGTGACCATTTTAAGATAATCCTTTTCGGTGCTTGCTTGTGGGAACACTAGGGCATCATGGAGTAAGTTTCCTTCTTGCAATTAAATATTTGCTAAAAACCAATGGTTTTCTTTGTTTGCATGCTGACTTTTCCCAATGCTTGGAAACTATAATTAATTGAATGAAAGTGGGTGGAGTCTGACCTTGGGCATCAAACTTGATTACGCAGGCAAGTCTAGTTTGCTTTGAATGAGTTTCGAGGATGAGCATGGGCATAAAAATCAATGCCCAAGTCTACAAGTTTCAAGTTTGAAGTCCTAACAAGGTTGTGAGCCAATTCAAGTTCTTGCGGGTCAGATAAACAGGCTTAAAGTTGATGATGTTTCTAGCTGATAAATCTTGTAAATTCTCGCCACACCGATTATATTGTTGGTATCTGCTATCTAGTCAGTTGGCAAAGTCACTGATTAGGTAGAAAGTTGCTAAATATGGCGACACGCAACTTGATGCTTATTTGTAGTTAATAGTCTGTTGCCTTTTCTTATGCATCAGTAGTAACTAATGCATATCTTACAGATAAAGCATAAATAAATATTGGCCCACAAGACTCAAAAAGTTGCATCCCATACTTCTTCTTCCTTGTGACTATTGGCTATGGTGTGTTGAAATCCGGATAAAGAGAAGTTTCCTGCTCATATCCTTATGGCTAAACCACATTTTATGTCAATGCAAGAAAAGATAGGCCCTAAAGAAAAGAAAAGACATGAGTTAAGAGTTTAGAGGAGGTGGTGGGACTAGTACTGATAAATGGGGGTACACCCTACAATCTACATTGACCTTTCGGTGTTTGGGGGCCCTGTATTATTCTAATCTAAATTTATGTGGCAGGGCATCTACTCCACAATTATTGCCCTCCAGAGTGTATGATGGTTTCTTTGCAAATGTAAGCTGTGAATATGTTTATCTTGTGAAAAGAATGAATCCTGGTTTTACCATCACTATCCAATGGCAATCCTTGAGATCCTCGGGTATTCCCAATCGATGATCACTTGAACTTATTCAGTAGTTTCTTGGGACATTTCTGCATCATTAGTCCAGTTAGCATGCTAGAAACATTGACTTCACTCAATTTGCACTCGGTGGAATTAAGAAATGGCATAGGCGAGCTGCACCCAAACTCAGAAGTCAAGTGACAGTAATGCGGGGGTCTTAGTGTAAACCGAGTAACAAATTCAGATAAGGGGCAAGTTCTTTTCTCACCCTATTGCCAAAGACTTTTCAACCAGCTATACTGTTACCTTCTCCTTGTCTCTTTTGTCATTCTGAAGAAACAAACAAATTGCAGGGTGAAAGTCTACAAGGGCTGTTTATTTTCGTCAATGCACTCAGCAGTCAACTCCACTATAGTCTATGGGAACCTGCCTGGAAGGGATAGCTGCAATACCCATCTCCTAAGTTATTGAAAAACTTCAGGAACAAGGTCACTTGATTGCGTCCAATAAGCAGGCCTTGACTCTAGCATTCCAATGTTACTTGTTGCCAGGAAACTTACATGAATCGGTTTTCCTTAGCTGACATGAAATTGGTATGAATGGAATATTGCATTTCACTTTCATGCCTGGAAGAACCAGTCCATCAAATATTATTGTTCTAGAGCAGAGACAATTCAGTTTCCCTTGGGGAAAAATGGGACTACGGAAAAGCAGATATGGGTTGGAAATTGTCAATTGTTTTTTTGGATGGTGGGAAACTGGCCAGCGGACAAGGTGAAACAGATCAGCTCATAACGACAAGAAGGCCAAGCCAACTACCTCTTCGGTGCCGCCACTTTCCTGGACTAGTTTCTATTTCTATTTCTAGATATCTTGTTCATGAGAGAATCTTTCAGATGACCCCAGAAAGCCCGGTTGAATTCACATTTCCATTTCCCCATTTGAACCGAGCCCATAACTCTAATTTCTAGCCCTGGATTGTTCACTCAACAAGAATACTTTCGACCTTGCGTTGGGCAAAACAGTGTGGACCAATGCCCAATTCAAGCCCAGAATGCACATCGGCTTCGGTCCTTTTCTCCTTATCTTAATCTGTCATGGCCAAAACAACACTACTGCCATCTTTCCGTGAGTCTGCAGCAGTCAGACCAAACCAAAAAACTTTTAGATTCCAATGCAATTCCAATATGGACAAAAGATAGTAATTCTTGCAACAGGAGACAAATGAACATAAAACTGCACTTGGTTCCTATTTTTCCCTTTTCCTTGTTAATCTGTTACTATGTTATTTTGATTAGAGCTAGGTTGACTTCGACATGGAACATTCATTCCTAGGGTTTTGTATTCTTACAGGTCTCCCATAAATTGCAAGAATCTCCGCTTTTAGTTCATGGCTGGCGGCATCAGCAGCATCTTAGCCTGGTGGTATCAGCAGCATCTTAGGCTGGTGGCCTGAAATCAGAAGGATAACTTCGGCCTAAAGTCACGGCCCTCAATGCAATTTTCTCTACATATTTCCTTTCTTGCAATGAATTTACAGCTGCCTGGAGTCAGGGCATAATATTAGTATATATTGCTTCAACCCTATTTTTTTTTTAAAGTACATTGCTTCAACCCTTAACGGTCACACTATCTAAATGGAATCCGCCATTGATTCATCTGTATCTTTGACTCTGCAACAGCCTATCCCTACTCGTTTGGCACAAGATATTCATCTCCTATTTCCTTTTTACTAGTATTTATTCACCCTTAGAATAAAAAATCATTATAAAAGAACCCAAATCTCAAACGACAGTGACCTTAAAAATTCAAAAAATTGGAGAACAAACATCAAATACGTAAGATTCTGTCATGCTTGCTCCTTGCTTAACAACATAGAACAGTCAAATGACACTAGGTTTAACTAACAAAGACTACTAAGAAAGTTACTTGGTTTATGAGCAGGGGACCTGGGGCAGAACATATAGAAATCCACATAAATATATGGACCCAAAATGACAATTTGTTTTCTTCATGCATACACTCACCAAATGATGCCAAATCATTACATTTTTGCACAAAGAAAAAACCACTGTATAAACCCCCTGTAGGGAAAGCATCTCCCCCCTGTATCTCATTCTCAATCTCTCTTTCTTTATCTTTCATTTGAAGCAGTCTTTCTCTCTTTCTAAAAGCCGGTTAGCTAGGAGCAAAGCCACCCGTATTTATCACTTGAAAGTTTGAACCCTGACCCCCCAAAACCAGAATGGCTTCAACCTGTATCTCAAACTGCATCAATGACACTAGGGTCCCAGTCAGGCCAACCTACGTGAACCTCTACAAGTGGCCGGAATCAGATGCTGAATTTGTCAGGTCACTGAGCTCTGAAGGGCGCAGGGGCGGCGGCTGTCATGCACGTCCCAGGGTTGTTGATAGCATTTCATGCAGGCAAATGTACCTCAGGAGCTACACGTTTCACAGGAATGAAACCGAGCCTGAAAAAACAAAATGTTTCGGCAGAGCTAAGAAGGAAAAGGTGAAGAGTCCTAGAAGGAAAAGGAAGTCCAAAACTGTCGCCAAGAAGAAGAAGTGTATGGTGCTCAGGAGGGCCAAAGAGGTCTCTTGTGCAGCTTTGTTGGCCATGTTTCGCAGGCTGTTGTCTTGCACCACCAAGGTTGATGTGGCTGATCATGGAGATTGAACATTTCTGATCAGTTTCAGCCTTCAGGGCTTCCCTTTTTCTCTTTTTTTTTTTCCTTTCTTTTTAAATAACTTTCTAATAGCATTAAGTTTTTATTTATTCGATGCCTTAGTTTCCTTTCCCTCTATGTTATTTTCTTTGTCAATGGTTATGCGGTGATGATATGTTAATGGTTGTGGTACAGACAGAATATTATCAAGGAATGGCTTTATGCTAATATGTTTGGTTGAAAATATATCACATATCATATATAAAATTTCTCCATTTTCACCTTGTAAACTCTTCACCATTGAAAGTTTCAAGTATATGTCTGTCTCTGATCACATTTGCCACAGCAGGAAGAACAATACAGCTGGTTAATTCTTGTTTGTCTCGCCCCTTTTGTGCTTAGTGATTCTGTATTTTGGCCATTTTTTTATTAAATAATGGTTCTTACTATGTTGGAAAACAAACCAAAAATGGTACCGTTTATCCTTTTCCCCCTTCTAGCCTTGATGAGTCGTCATCATGTAACTGTAGTCACACTTAAATATCCTAACTCCTGCTGACTTACAATACAAGTTTTTGAGGGAATGTTTCTTAATTACAGTTACTGGAAATATATTTTAGAATCACTGGTTCTGGACAATGGCTAGGGTCAACAGCCATTGCTTGGATGAGTCACTTGAAGATCAAGATTTTAGAATGCCATAACATTCTCTATAGAAATAAGGATAAGATCAAAATCAAAGTGTTTCATAATAAATTAACTAATCCTATCACTACCAACACCCCATTTTTATATATTTGGGTTAATATAATAATTAAAATTTGGGGGTCAACTCATTCATGTGTGTAACAACAAATCAAGAATACACAAGCCTTGTTGGGCATGAACTTTGATGTGGAATTAAATTAAACACCAAAAAGTCTAAAGGTCATAGAAGATCTTAATTCTTAAAGAGTAGAGCAAAAATGTGTGAAATAAAAGAAAGACATGATGGTGGCGTGGTGGAGGTGGGTGGAAGTTGGGGCCAAAAGATTTTGGGGAATTCTCACATAGCTTTAGCTTTTAAGTTCCTAACTTTCTATGTTTCTTTGACTATTTCCTTTCTTGAAAGGGATGGGAAGAAAGGGTCACCACCAGTTGGGGAGTATCATGACTCATGAGTAGAAGAAGTAATCCATAAGAAAAAAAAAAATTGAAGCAAAAGTGTTGAGGATCAATCATACTATAAACAATCATGAAAGTATTTTTAGTGTAAAAGGGACCAAGAAAGGAGTATGGAACTTACAAAGCAAGTTTTCTTGGGGTAATCGACTTTGGAATTTTATATATTTCCTTAATCTGTCTGTATTTTGCATGTACTTTATTGGGAGCATGATGCCAGGAAGTAATCAGTGCTTAGGGTACTAAATTATGACTTGGGTTGTTATAAGTTAACCATTTTTGGGATTTCTTGTTAACCTTTATAGTTGCTTGAGTTTTAAGCAAACTGAAATGCACTATGAAGAGCTGGAGACTGCAATCGCTAAACAATATGCTTATAATATTGTAATTAAACAGATTATCTATTACAAACTCTCCATGGATTGCCAATGTCTTACCTCTGACTTTTTTTTCCTCTCTCAATATTGCGGGACATGCAGCACAAAAAAATATAGTAAATGCTATGATGACATTGACATAATTGCAATTTCTTATGGTGATGATGGGATAGTAGGTAAACTCTTTGAGAATAACTTTTTCTGAGAAAAAGAAAGAAGAGATGAAGAAGATAAGGTTGATTGCTGGTCAACTATGGGCTTAGTTAGCATTCTTCCTTTGCATTTCTAAGGCTGTAACAGGAAAACCTGACAGCCTGCATGCACATCTTCTTTCCCAACCTTTGCTTGTCAAAGCTCTTTGAAATAAGAATATACCATCAAACTGCTTGATCATATATATCAGAATTGAAGACAACAATGCATGGATAGTATGTAAACTTAATTTAGAGGGAAGTGGAAGAAAAAGACAACAGGGGAGGTGGGGATATGACTCATATGAGGGAAGGACATATAAACAATCTCTGAAGAAATCTAATTTAAGTGGAGAAAACTATAATCCAGAAGTTTCAAATGAACTGCAAAAAGAATTGGACGGTACTGTGCAATGTCACTAATAGGTTTGTTTAGCACTAATAACTCCACGTTTTAATCTTGAACAAAAGGGGAATGAAGTTTGGTGATAGTCAATATATTACCGACATGCCAACTCATTCGCAGAGTGACAGATAAACATGAGTCTGTGAGACTCTCATAATTTCTTCCAAATGTAAATCCATGACTTTGTATGGGCATATACAACCCAGAATGATGAGAAAAGGGTCCAAAAAATTGAGTACTTCCTTTCAATTTTATACCAAATAATTGGTGATTCAAAAACTCAAAAGAAAATATCTGTTTAATTCCTTTGGAATCTGTTACCTACATGGGAGGTTACCTTGTATATTTCTGGAAGAGGAAATGGGGTAAAAATTAAACAAACCCTTACCCAATATAAGTGCATCTAGATCCCTTAAGAAGCTGTGAAACTAGGGAATTTGCTTGCTGAATCGTGTGCCCTTTGTTTCCAGCAGGCTTCATCCTGAGTTTTTGCCCATTTCCAGCCTACTTTATCCCAAGATTGGGCTCAATCCATAAAGATTTAAGGCAAATTCGGTGCATGTCATGTGCATTCATGCTCCCCCATCATTTGTTGCAGCTGCAGCCTGCTCTTTGATGGGCAATGGATTAACAATTGTTTAGCGGAATCAATTGTTCTTAAGGATGATTCTAGCAGAGATATTAACCGGCCCATTTACTTTATAATTTTCATTTTCTCAATATGAGAAATCTCGTTTGAACGGGTAGGTCTGAGTACTTGAGTTGCTTCTAAAACAAGTATAAAATTCAATAGCAAGATCCCAAACCAAGCCAATATAAAGAGTATATTTAATTTGCTACTCAATTATTAGCTTAAATAAAGAGCATGGTGGGTTCTATTATCTGGCATTGGCCCTCATACCAATACCAGGAAGCTTAGTGATTATCATTTGCTGCAATGCAAAGTTCAGATATTACTTAGTGGAAGAATGAATGCGAGAGAAAAAGTTAGAACTTTCTTGCAAGAAAGCCAACAAAAAGAGTTGTCATTGCTTGCTTCTTAATCCTATCAAATAATGCTTGAGATTCCTTTTTTTTTTTGTCATAATTTTATTAGTTGTGAATCATGCATGATATAAATATAATTGGCTTGAATGTATGGAGAGTGAGATACCCGTATATATGCCAAGTGGATGTGGTGCAAGGTAGTGCTTCAACCATTGAATTCATCATTCACAATCATGTTGGGTAAACTGGAAACGTCAGACAACTGCAAATGCAAAATACAAGGGCAGAACTGCTTTGCAGTATGAAATTTAAATGCAGACTCATAAACAACTGGAAAATGGAATTAATCAAGTTAGATGTGATTCAAGGGCGACAGACTCCATGATTCACTCATCGATTTGTATCAACTTTGTTCTTCAATAAAACAAAAGCCATTGGCTCAATTCTCTTCTTTCTAATGTAAGTTGTGGCTTATTTTTTGGGTGCAAATATATTAGGCTTACTAATTTGCAAAATTAGTGGATATAGGTAAAGTAAATTGCTTGAAGTGTGAGGTTTTCCATGGTGAAAGGTGGTTGAACCAGGAAATCTTTAAGGAGATGTCCTTTTTTGGAAACTCACAGATGGGTTTTTCCCAATGTTAACGAGAACAAAGGAGGCTCTAAGCAAGAATCATGCATTAGCCGCTTAGCAAGTCATCAGGTGCTTATGCAACAACCTGGTAGAACAATTTTATCTCCACAGTTCATGTTGATGCAGCAATATAAAGAGATAAAAGCACACCAAGACTGTCGAAAATGGGATAACATCAAGAAAAGAATCAATTTGAAAATAATCACAAACCCATCACCCGCAAAAGTCGAAATGCACCTTATAGCAAATTAAGTTAAAGGAATTGCAAGTTGAAACCAAACAAGCTACATGAAAATTTTTAAATTGCAACATCTCTGTCAATTTCCTAAAGCCCACTTGAAAACTTCCACCCCTGCTGTACATGAAAGAGCTCACAAACACTTTTATGCAGTTCCATTTTAGAACACAAATAGTTTTGAACAGTTGCCTCTGCAGTAAGGGCACAGCTTCTCTCTGGTTTGTTTGATGACTAACCAAGCAAAACACATCATGGTATAGGATGATGAACTGACATACTGATACTACCAACGAGAAAACAAAGCAATTTGAACCATCCCACCGTTTTAAACAAAATAAAGAAAACTATCCTACCTACTCAGATGTGGCAAGCTGTGATTAATCAGAGAAAACCATGTAAGCATTGTCAAAAGAGAAGCTTAACCCATAGGATTTTCCATCTCATACAACTCACCTGCCTTCAGACTTAACCAGCTGTGAGAACACTTTACTCATTGAAACACCTGAGAGGTCATCCACACTTGACATCTCAAACTGTGCTGAAGAAACAGTGGGATCAAGCTGGCTGAAATTGTTGATTTGAGGAGAAAGCTCGCCAATCATGTTTGTGCTGTTTTCTTCCGGATCACCTTGAACAACTGCCTCCTGAAGTTGAAGTGCATACTCCAGATTCCATAAGACATCTCCCATGGAGGGCCTGTCAACACCAAAATCAGCCAAGCACTTCTCAGCGGTTTCCCCAAACTTCCTTAGAGAATCGGGCCTGATATTTCCTATGAGTTTAGGATCAATTATTTGCTCCAACTGTCCTCTCTTCTGCCATTTCATTGCCCATTCAGCTAGATTTACCATTTCCCTTGGAAGTGTTGGATCTATTACTGGTCTTGCACAAAGAACTTCAAACAAAACCACTCCAAAAGAATATACATCAGATTTTTCTGTCAGTTGTTGCCTTCTGAAATATTCTGGATCCAGGTATCCAAAACTTCCTTTCACTGCTGTACTGACATGGGTCTGATCAATTTCAGGTCCTGTCTTTGACAGCCCAAAATCAGCAACTTTGGCCATGAGATTCTCATCAAGTAAAATATTTGCCGACTTCACATCACGATGAATAACTGCTTTTGCATAGCCTGTGTGAAGGTAGTGGAGTCCTCTAGCTGCTCCAATGCATATTTCAAGCCTTTGTTTCCAACTTAAACTTGGACAACCTGAGCCGTAAAGATGACTCTTGAG